GAACAATTCCTGAGCCCTTGCTTTAAGTGGAAGCTTCCATCTCCTGTCTCTGGGACACGGGGGTGGGCAGAGCGATGCCCCCAAAGAGGTCCACGCCCTGCTCCCTGGAAGCTACCCACACTGTTGCGTTACGTGGCCAAAGGAACACTGAAGATGAATTAAGGGCTTTAAAACAGGGAGTGGATCTGGGGTTGCCCAGGTGAGCCTGGTGTAATCACATGGGCCCTTCAGCAGAAGGGGAAGGCGGAAGAGGGGTTGGGGCAGTATGATGAGGAAGAGGCAGGAGACATGTGAAGCTTGCAGATGGAGGGAGAGTGCCCCGAGGCGGCAAAGAGAGGTGCCTCTAGGAGCCGGGAACGGCCTCGCTGACAGCCAGCTCAGGACGGGGAGCTCAGTCCTAGGACTGCAAGGAATTGAACTCTGCTCACCGCCTCCAAGTACAGGAGATGGGTTCTCCCCTGGAGCCTCCAGAGAGGACCACAGCCCTGCCAACACCTGAGACCCACGCCAGACCTCAAGCGGCAGGACTGTGAGATCATCAATTTCTGTTGTTTTTAGCTGCTGTGTGTGGCAATTTGTTAGAGCAGCAACCAAAAACTGAATACCCAAGCTCACCTTTGGATGGGAGCTCCTCTGCGGGGAGGAAACCCCCACGGCCCCATGGGGGAGGCCCATGCGGAGAGAAACCGGCAGCCAGCCCCAGCTTGCCAACCCCGAGTGAACCTCCTCAGAAGGGGACCGTCCAGCCAGCCGGTCGAGTCACCCCTGTGGAGTGCAAACAAGCTGTTCCTGCAGATTCCTGTTCCGACTTCAGACTCGCGAACAAAATCGTGGTGGTGGTGGTTTTAAGCCTAAAACCACGTGTAGCGTGGCTTGTCACGCAGCAGTAGACACCCGGAACATACAGACGTGTGTGGAGAGGACACGTGTGCCAGGAGGCCCAGGCCTTTTGTGCCGGTCACGGTGGCAGGAATAAAGGGACTATGAGAAGAGTTTGGATGGCCCTGAGGGAGACATGGTGCTCAGGTGAGTGCGGGGGGACCGTGGGGAAGCAGTGGCTGAACTGGGGGTCACTCGTACCACTGGAGGTATGTGGGCCCGGGTGGCACCCAGCTCCAGAGGTCCTTTTTGACTCTTCTTTATGGTAAACATAAGGCAATGCAATATACACTCTTCTGCAAACATACATCGTGACATGCTTGTTAAAATACGGAGCACAACTGGAGAGGGTGAGCACAGAGCGCCCTTTGGGGGAGTTCTGCCATAAGGGAGACCAGAGAACACGGTCCATAACCTCAGGAGCCTGAGGGAACCCGACTTGGGTGTGTGTGTTCAGAGAGGGGAACAGGACAACAGATCCGGGTGCGCGTGGGAATGATGCATCTCAAGGCACAATGAATACGCCCCAAGTGAGGTATTAAAAGGTTGGTAAAAGCTGCAGCTAACAGGAAAAGCTATTGCTCGCGCTGCTTTACACCCATCCCCCTTCTGCCCAAATGGGGAAATTGCGGCCCTCCACTTGGGGGGCTGAGTCTGAGGCTCAGGCGAGGAGGGCTTCACAGCCCGCTTGGGACCAGTCCCTCTTCTGGTCGGCTCTCCTCTTCAACTCCCCACCGCACTCGGCCCAGTACCTGCAACGCTGCTCCTGGGGAATCAGTCCTCAGTGTGTACAAAACAGTCCTGTCGCTGTTTCGTGGAGTCATTTTTATGAATTCCATGTTCCGAGGATCCACCAAACTCTTTCCCACCTCAAGGAATACTGAGCTGAATCAGTCTTTCAAAAAAAAATGTTTTTAAGGGGAGGGCATTTGGGGCGCCTGGGTGGCTCAGTCCGTCAAGCGTCTGCCTTCTGCTCTGGGACTGATCCCAGGGTCCTGGGATCGAGCCCCACATCGGGCTCCCTGCTCCCTCTCCCTCTGCCCCTCCCCCCCACTTGTGCTCTCTCTCTCTCAAATAGGTATCTTAAAAAAAAACGCCTCTTTGGGGTGCCTGAGTGGCTCAGTCCTTAAGCATCTGCCTTCAGCTCAGGTCATGACCCCAGGGTTCTGGAATCGAGCCCCACGTCGGGCTCCCTGCTTAGTGGGGAGCCTGCTTCTCCCTCTCCCACTCCCCCGCTTGTGTTCCCTCTCTCGCTGTGTCTCTGTCAAATAAATAAAATATTAAAAAACAAACAAACAAAAAAAACCCACCTCTTTAAGTGAGGGCATTTATCCGGACTGGTGCAGCTGCAGACAGCACCAGGGAATAACTCCAGGCCTAGCCCCAGCCCCTCCCCCAAGCGAGCCCACCTGCAGAGACGGGCTCTTCAGCTTCTCCCAGGCCCTTCCAGTGCCTCTCTGGCTTAAGAGACCTTTTTATGGTGCATAAAACCCAAGCGCCCCGACAGAGCCAGGGCCTGAAATCCTGTTAGTCTCCTAGAAAGGCCAGTCTCGTAAGCTGGGTCCCAGACACAGATTGTGGGGTTGAAGAGGGGTGGGGGAGTCTCAGTCTGGTTTTGACCCTAGTGAGCAAGGTTAGATTCCATTATCTCTATGTTCCCTGCCAATCTGAAGGTTCTAGCTTCTGCAGAGAGGTCTCTCCCTAAACGGACTGGACCAGGAGAGTTCTTGACTCCTCCTGATGTTAGAATCGCCTGGAGAAGGCTTCACACAGAACAGCCCTGCTCACCAACCGAACCACAACCTCTGAGCAGCAGGCCTGGGCACGAGTATGCAAGCCGGGTAGAAAACTTGGACTTGACACTTGGGATGGTCAGAGTCAGGGACATTTTTTTTTTTTAATTTTTAAAAGATCTTATTTATTGGGGGGAGGCACAAGGGGAGGGAGAGAGACAGGTAGACTCCACGCAGAGCACACAGCTGGATGTGGGGCTCCATCTCATGACCCTGAGACCACGACCTGACCCCAACCCAAGAGTCCCATGCAACCAAGAGTCAGAAGCTCAACGGACTGAGCCACCCACGCGCCCCAAAAGAGTCAGGGACACTTTCAAGAGCACACACGTGCTTCTGCCATATCCCTGGCCTTCATGGTAGAGATTGGCAAGTGTTCATTTACGCTTTACTCTGAAGAGTGGTGCTCCTCCCACAGGCTTGTTCAGAAGCACTGACAGGATGGCCTGATACCATTTTTACTTATTTAGTAGTTATAGTAACAGGGAAAGACCCATAAATAACATACATGACAGTTATGTAACAGAAACAGAGACCAGGCATGATCCAGTTTTAAAAAAATTTATTAAAATGTCTCTTTGCAACTAACAGGGTCATCTTACCCTCTTTGTTGGCCCCAACATCTGCATTCTGCTAACTGGGTTTTAACAGACTACCTACAGAAAATCCCAGCCTTAGATTTCTATCCAAATAGAACTACACTCCGCAGTAAGAGATGGGGGCGGGAGAGCGAGGGAGGATAGGTGTTTTCTTGCAGACTCTCTCCAGACATAGAACTTGTGGGTGCTGTCACTAGGGCGCTGTCCTTTGTCCCCCGCCCCAGGCCCCTCCGGAGGGTCAGAACCAATGCTCTTGTTACAGGGTTCTTGTCTCACGGGGTCAAAGAATGAATCTCACGGACACAAAAGGGTGAAGCAAAAGTTTATTCAGTGAAGGTGGAAACAGGAAAGAAAAAGCCCTCTCAAGTGAGAGGGGTCCCGAATGGGTTGCCACTGAGGGCTTTTACGGTCGGTCTTTTATAGAAAATTGATCAGGGAACTTCAATCTTCTTGATGTCACCACTGAGAGCACCATGATTACTTCTCCTTTGAATATCTCGCCTCTGAGGTTTAAGACAAACGAGGTGCTCTGGTTATGTTCCCTCATCTCTGGTTTCCTTACGCCTCAGCATTTTGGGGATTTTTGGTGAGCCTGATCAGGTAGCCCCCTACCTGTCTCTCCCTTCCTAGTCCCGCCTGTCTCTTACTCTCATCCTAACTTCCAGGGTTTGCAACCGCAACCCTGCACTGGACTCCCCACATCACTGACTCACGTGGATGACTCTGACCTCTGTCTGACCTTGCTCCTCACCTTGTAATGAAACTCTCACGTGTGTGTACCCAGACTGGGCTCGATTCTGCTCACCTTTTCCCACTCCTGATCCTGAATCTACTTGGTCTTTCATTCTCTATTACCATTAATGGAGTGAGCGCCTGTGTACCAGAAACCTACTGTGTACCAGGCACTGTAATGGGTGTTTTGTTTTGTTTGTTTTTTAAAATTATTTATTTGACAGAGAGAGACACAGCAAGAGAGGGAACACAAGCAGGGGGAGTGGGAGAGGGAGAAGCAGGCTTCCCGCAGAGCAAGGAGCCCGGTGCGGGGCTCGATCCCAGGACCCCGGGATCATGACCTGAGCTGAAGGCAGACACTTAACGACTGAGCCACCCAGGTGCCCTGTAATGGGTGTTTTGTAAACATTATTCCTACTATCCACTGATCTACAAAACAAATATTTTTTTTTTTAAAGATTTTATTTATTTATTTGAGAGAGACAGAATGAGAGAGAGCATGAGAGGGAGGAGGGTCAGAGGGAGAAGCAGACTCCCTGCTGAGCAGGGAGCCCGATGTGGGACTCGATCCCGGGACTCCAGGATCATGACCTGGACGCAGGCGCCCCCTACAAAACAAATATTGTTCCCACTTCACAGCTGGAGAAAGGTTACTACTCAAGGTCCGGTCTTGGTAGGTGCAGGGTGGGATCCAAGCCAGACACAAGTGGTGAATGAATCCCACTATCAGCAGAAGTCCCTTTTGAGGGGGTGGGGTGAGGATCAACACCACAAGGCGTATGATGTTTGGGTTTAACATGAACATATTTGCATTTTAAAGTGTGAACAGTGTCTTCCTGAGATCTTTAAAGAGCAGAGTAGACATCTCTAAGAAGAAGCCCTATTCCTTTAGTTAACTCTAATAGCTGAAAACAAACTTTCCAAAACCTGTAGTAAGAAAACCCACAAGAAAGTTATAAAAATATTTTATTTAAACATTAAGGAAAAAATTATACATACTTAAAAATGATTAAAAAAATGATTTAAAAAATTATACATACTTAAAATGATTAAAATGATAAGTAAACAAATGCTAGAAACACAGGAATTTACACATGATGAAATCTAAAGTGATATGAACACATAAAATGCTTCCAAATGGTCCTCTCACCTAACAAGACTATTACAAAACTGAGAAATACAGTAATTGCTGAAGCTGAGTTAAAGGCACAGGACACGATCATTCCTCTATATACACCCAGTGATCGTATACAACCAAAGAGCAAACAACTTATCTGCAATTTTGGGAGGACATCATGTACCTATAATGAAACGCTGCTTAAATGTTTACACCAATACTTTCGCCAATGATTCAAACAGATTAACACTGCAAACCAACTACTTCTATTTTGAATTTGAAAAATTCAATAATTATTGAGTTTAAGAACAGGCAAAAGAGCTTGAATTTATTCTGATTTCAACCAGACTGCAAAGTTAAAATTTTTCCCAGGAAACCACTCACTTCCTAGATGCAAAAACGCACTGTAGCATTTCCATTACGTCTGCGAAGCTTTCAGCCAGCTGGGGGTTGAAGCGTTCACACTGACGTGCTCTAAAACCTGAGAGGAAACGAGCATTGATATCCGATGTGAGACATTCTATCTTCAGCTTCTGGATCTGTTGTGAGAAGCACAGTTTAGTCCACATGTCTACAACATCTCTGGCTCTCCATTACCAAATATAAATTCACATCAGCAGGAAGTCAAAAGCTCCTGAACATGTGTAAAAAGTCAAAACTCAAGAGCCAAAAATGTTAACGACACCTGAGAGAAGGGGAGAGGCAGGACACGTGGTCAGGTGAGGCGACGTCTTGTGGTGACACACCTGAACCGGGAGAAAGGGCTACAGAGAGAGGCCAGGTGGCCCCGGACACAGCACAGCATGTGGAGGGGACTCTCCACCCCAGCGCGGTCAGGGCCATGACAGCAACGACTTGCAGCCCGGGAGCAATGACATTATGTCCGTTTCTCCTTTATGTGGGTACAGTGACTCTCCTTTAAAATGCTGAAGTTGGGGGCGGGGCGCGCCTGGGTGGCTCAGCCAGTTAAGCACCTGCCTTCAGCTCAGGTCATGATCGTGAGGTCCTGGGACTGGGCCCCACGTCAGGCTCCACACTCAGCGGGGAGCCTGCTTCTCCGTCTCCCTCTGCAGCTCCCCCCAACTAGTGCGCTCCCTCCTTCTCTCTCTCAAATAAATCTTTAAAAAGAAAAAAATAAAACTCCAAAGGGAGCACATGCTGTTAGCTGAAGCCAGTTTTCTTTAGCACCCCAGTCATTTACTCAGTATATATTAACTTTTACTTCTCTGGGCCTGTTTTCATGCCTGTAAAGTGATGCACCAAGTAGATGTCCTCCAAGCTCTGAAGTAAGTGACGGGAAGGGAGGGGCTGCCTTGGTCTTTCTCCCCATGTCCCTCAGCACGCAGAGGGAGTGTTCTCAATACATATTTGTGTGATAAATGAGTCATCTGATACTCGACAAACAGACCCCACTGTGCAAGGCAGCGGGCCCAGGGGGGCAGTTGTTGGTGGAGAGGAAGAAATCCTATAAGGAACATGGAAGGAAAAGGTTGATGCGTCGTCCGTTAGGAAGCAGCCAGAACAGTCAGAGTGGGTTAGAGTGCCCGTTCTTCCTACGTTGCCAATCCGTCAGAACGACCTGGCCAGTCGTCACGTGTGTATCAGGTGATGGAAGCTGACTTCAGGAGAAAATAACCTACAGCGTGAACTTTTCCATACTGGAGGGTGCAGATACTGTCTTGGTGACATCTCTGAAGGGTGGGTGCCATATCGAAGAAGCGCTAAATTATGCAAAAGGAAAGGGGCCTCAGTCCCTTTCATCTCAGAGTTCAGTGAATAAACAGTTGCTAAGTAGTCTGCCATTGGTGGGCCGCCACCTGAAAACTGTCATAGAGGAAGTCACTGTTCAATGAGTTCAATATTAGAAATACCATTCCAGAACTCCTACCTTTAGAAATCATCCAAGGAGTGAGATGAGCATCACAACCCCCATGAACTGAGTAAACAACACCAGCGGGGTGAGGAAGGACCACACATGCCACAGAGCAACGTTGAAGCTGAAAAGGACAAAGCGCACACAGTTAGCAACTCCGGCTGCAGTCTACACACACAACCCACGGTGGAATCTAGGAGAACCCACTGTTCCTCAGTCTGGGGAAGTTTACCTAGCCAGCAACTTTATATGCATGTCATGTTTCTCCACCATGTGATTTAGCCCAAAGTGGAAATATCTCAAACTCTTCCAAAAGTATTTGGAACTGGAACCGCTAAAGGTCCTCCCGTGAGAGCTGCCCAAGAGGAACCCGAGAGTTTAAAAGTCAGTGTCTGTGATGGAATAGGAATGACAGCGGCTACTGCCTTTTACGATCCACACGCCACCAAACGATCACGGTCAAAACAGTTTCAAATATTTTTTTCTTAGAAACAGAAAGAAAAAATAATCACTTATAAGTTGCTATTAAATTTACTATTGAGGGGTGCCTGGGTGGCTCAGTCGTTAAGCGTCTGCCTTCGGCTCAGGTCATGATCCCAGGATCCTGGGATCGAGCCCCGCATCGGGCTCCCTGCTCCGCGGGAAGCCTGCTTCTCCCTCTCCCACTCCCCCTGCTTGTGTTCCCTCTCTCGCTGTGTCTCTCTCTGTCAAATAAATAAATAAAATCTTTAAAAAAAAAAAAAGAAAACAGTAAAAAAAAAATTCCTATTGAGAAAAACACTATTCCTGTCACCAAGGTAAGAATAAGACCGCTTCTAAGTGCAAATGATTTTTATGGACTAAATTTGCCGAACCAGAAGTTACTTAGCGAAAACTGTAGTCAATTAAATTAAGATATTAATGTGTAACACTTTGATAAAGAGAACTTTAAACAGCTACAATCCCACTGTTCTAAAAACTAACATTTCTGGGGTGATCTTACTCATATAATATAAAAGAGCACACCTGTCCACCCACGTCACTGAAGGGTTAGTAATGTTCACATTACAAGGTAATAGGTGTCAATACCCTTTAACTTCAAATACAGAAAATCCATCATAAAAAACATGCATTTAAACTGAACATGTACAAAAGTATATGGTTTTTCCAAAATCAAAATTCACTTATTACAGAAAAAGGAAAAAAGCTACAGGAATATACACAACATATAAGAGTAGTTTTTCTCTCTGCCTAGCAGGATCATGGTGATTTCCTTCCTTTGTGTTTTTCTGTAATAGATTTTTCTTCAGTGAGCAAGTATACTTTTATACACATTAAAAAAAATCAATGTTTTTCACTGAATAACTATTAAGAAGGACACTGTGGTGTTTTTATAGCAGCAAAACAGTAAGAACAACTCTAAATCCAACAAGAGCGGGTTAAATAAGTCCTGGTTATGTCTATGTAATAATTATGTAACAATTCAAAACAACAAGGCACATCTGTATGTACCAATATGGAAGAATTATCAACCACATGGCTCCATTAAAAAAAAATGAACACTTTGGAAAAGAGGTGGCGCTATTTACTGAAAGTGGAGCTACGTACAATCTACGAGCCAGCAATTTCATTTCTAGAGATATGTACACACACATGTGAGCATGGATACCTCCAACAGACACGTGTGCACCAGAGTCCTAGTCCATAACGTTAACAGCATCCTTAAAAACATCACCAAACTGGAAATAATCCAAATGCTATGGACAGTAGAGCCGAAGAGCTGGGATTCAGTGACAGGCTGGAATGCTACCCAGCAGTGAGCAGCCGTGATACACAAGGCAGATCCAATGGGAGATGGGGTGACACTGGATGAGACTGAGACATGAGGCAGGAACAAAAGTGAGGTTTTGCACACGCCCATAAAGCCCCGTCCAAACCACAATTCCACTCATGGCGACGCGTTTTCTTTCACGATACAGGAAAGACAGCAGCTTTCCCTCTGTCTCTGAAGTTTTGAGCAGGAGAGTAATAAACAGCATACATAATATTGCGTGTAAACCGCCAAATGTAAAAGAACACACAATATATGACTCCATTTCTATCAAGTTCAAAAACAGACAAAACAAAAATAAGAGTATTTAAGAGATGCAAAAGAAATCAAGTCCCACACAGGTCGGGGCAGTGTCTGTCCCTGGGCAGGAAGGATGGTGCCTGGGGGTGGGGGTGGGATTCTGGGGCTGGAACGGTTCTCCTTCTTGACCTGGGTGGGCTTTCATCAATGCATCTCTTAACTCGTTCAGCTGTACAATTTAGTGTTTTCCACTTTCTTTTTTTAAAGATTTTATTTATTTATTTGAGAGAGAGGATGAGAGGAGAGAGCACATGAGAGGGGGGAGGGTCAGAGGGAGAAGCAGACTCCCTGCCGAGCAGGGAGCCCGATGCGGGACTCGATCCCGGGACTCCAGGACCATGACCTGAGCCGAAGGCAGTCGCTTAACCAACTGAGCCACCCAGGCGCCCTGTTTTCCACTTTCTATATGTATTATATTTCACAACGAAAGTGACTGAAAAAGCAAAATGCAGAATATATATAGCATGTCACCATTTGCGTATTAAATAGCTAAATATATAAAGAAAGATCCTACTGGAAAGGGACTCCAAGACCAGCAATGACAGGAGGCCATTTTCCCATTACTCCTTTCCTTTACATTTTGGACCATGTACATCAGCACTGATGAAAAACCGTTTTATTCCTGTTAGTCATTTCAAAGTTAACTTACCAAATCCCGGCCGCGATAAAAGTAGCAGTTGTGATGGGTATCAAGGTGGGGTACTTGACGTCATAATCTTCAATTCCACAACACCACTCCAGGTAGAGGATGCAGTAACATGCAATCGACAGGCTGAGGAGCAGCAGGGCACCGCCAACGACAAACCAACTGCGAGACAAAAGCGACAGGAGGGCTGACAGCACTTAGCGAGTGAGCACACGTCTTAAACGTTCTCACGGACAGCCTAACAATCGATTTTCACAGGGAGTATCAGCTGGGCAAGGGGCCCGGAGGGACCCACCGCTCCTCAGTCCCAGCTTTCAGAAGGCCTCTATCTACTAGGAGATGGGGTGAGACAGGAGGCCAGCACATGCAGCAGCAAGAAAGTGAGGCTTTAAACACTCGTGTGCTGCGCACGCTCCAAAACCACGACCCAAAGCACAAGCGAGCTCACGGCGACGTGTCTGCTTTCACGATCCAGGAGAGACAGCAGCTTTCTGTCTCTTTCTGAAGATCTGAGTGTGACAGTAAGAAACAGGGACCATGAACTCCTCCAAGTCAAGGAGGGTTTTGGGGAATACGGACAGTCAATTTGGAAGACGGTTTCTTCAAACTGCCTCTCACAACAGGTTTCTTAGGGAAACACACCCATTTTGAGAAGAGCTCCAACCCTCCGAGGGGCAGTGGCTTTTTCTCACTTCTCATTCTACCCAAGAGCCAACTCTGCGTGTGAAGGCAGCCTCCTCGCCTCTGCTGGTCAGGGGAGGAGGCCAGATTTGGGGAACGAAGCCCTTCTCCTGTTTCCCAATGTCCCCATTATCTTTCGCTTCTCTGAGGGGAAAACACCAGTGTTCTGCGAAGATGAGAGAGGGGTCACAGGGGGGCTGGAACAGTCAAGTGACACTGGCAGTGAGTGCACCTCCAACCGTGGCAAGGTTCCAGACTCCTTTAAGTCATTTTATGACGCTGGGTTCTGGAATTGATGATGAGAGGCGGGAGGGTGCAGCCTTTCACATCTGCTGGTCTGGGTTTGGATCTCAGCTCCAGCAGGACGAGTTTTGTGGCTCTGGGCAAATTACTTAACCTCATGGGGCTTTGGAAACATTACCAGGACTTATAGAATAGCTGTGAGAGTCACACAGCTGCTCAGAAAAGTGCTTCCCACAGAGTTAATGCCCAGTGGTAATCATCACTATTCCAGAGGGGATCCATGAAAAAAAAATATTTCCATGTTCCTCTTCAAAGAGGTCTTCAAAGACCTCTCTTCCGCTAGTGTGCATTCTCAACAGGGGCGATGTTGCCCCCAAAGTGAGGAAATAATCTTTTTTTTTTTTTTAAAGATTTTATTTATTTATTTGAGAGCGAGAATGAGAGAGAGAGAGCATGAGAGGGGGAGGATCAGAGGGAGAAGCAGACGCCCTGCTGAGCAGGGAGCCTGATGCGGGACTCGATCCCGGGACTCCAGGATCATGACCTGAGCCAAAGGCAGTCGCTTAACCAACTGAGCCACCCAGGCGCCCAGTGAGGAAATAATCTTATTCTTTCTGCACATACAAAGCACAGATACTCATACAGTATGTAAGGGGGCACTAAGGAATAGCATGTCTTGCAAAGGCTCCTTAGGAGGTGCTAACAAAGGTTGAGGAACACCGTTAGTGACCTCCTTGCTTGGTCAGGATCCTTCTGTTCATCCATTTTTAACTTCATATAGAATCCTAGCACGGCCATGGAGTCCCGATATGGTAGAGGATAGAAACAGTTGAAGAACTTGCCTGAATCAAAACGATACCGCAAGTCAGTGGCCCTCAACCCTGGGTGTGTATCAGTCATTGCAACATTCCAAAAGGAAGCTAACTTGCCCCAGCCTCCCAGATTCTGGCTTGGTGGGTATGAAGAAGAGCCTGGGCATCTGGGATGGTAATTTCCATCGTAGTTTTAATTAGCTCCTCGGTTCACACACACACGCGCACACACACACACAGACACAGACACACACAGACACACACACACACCCAGCAGTTTCCTAAAAATTGACATTTTCAAAGCATCATGATGTTTCACTTTAATGCTGACCTGTCTCTCCTGTCTTTGAACATATAATCTTACAACCTTGCATAGATTAAAAAAATGTTTTTGAGAGAGAGAGAGAGCATACGCCACCTGGGGCAGTGGTGTGTGGGGAGGAGGGAGCAGAGAGAATCTTAAGCAGGCTCCGTGCTCAGCACAAGGCCTGACGCAGGACTCAATCTTAACAACCCTGAGACCATAACCTGAGCTGAAAGAGTCAGACCCTCAACCGACTGAGCCATCCAGGTACCCCTAACCTTGCACAGATTTAAAGAATCCTAATGCCTCGAGCTTCTGAACTTGGGCTAACGGTGGGGCAAGAAATAAGCAATGACGTCAGGTATCAGAAGAATGAACCATATGCAAGAAAGCAGATCACGGCCCGCACTCCCTCCCAGGTATTGCTCTCATTGCACGGCTCCAACTCCCCACTGCTTAGTGAGGCCCTCAGCAAGAATCCAGGGCTGCTCAAAATCCTCAGCCTGTGGGTATCGTTCATGTCTTTTTTATCTAAGGGGACGCTTTTCTGAGGCCAGGCCTGTGACTTCTACTTCCTTCTCCTGCTCCAAGGCCTGGCTCCAGATTCCAAGTCCTGGCTCTGCCACATGACCGTGTGTGCCTCCAGCACCTTTTACGTGTAACTACTTATCCCTTATCTCACCAAATCCTTAAACTAGTGAGAATACTTAATATAAGGCGACAGAGGTAAATCCTGTGCATAAACTTACACAGCACCCACATGACCGATTTATCCATCCTGGACCGTAAGGGACTGGTGAGGGGCTAGACATGTGCCTTAATCATCGCCATCACATCACAGGCTCTCATGACACATCTGAATAACAAAGATACAGCTGCTACTGCTGGTGGGCAAAGTAACCATTCTCTCTTTTCCCAGCCCAGTTTCTAAACCAACTGAGAGACACGCAGGAGTTAGGCTGATGAGGTCAACTGTCAGCTTTTTTTTTTTTTTTTACTGATGGAGCTACAGGAAGATGGCTTTGGTGACCAGACACACCCACCAGGCTCCAAGTTGATGTGAAAATCTAGAGACCCTCGCATGTCGGGGCTGCCCCCAGAAATGACGGCAGAGAAAAGGAGACTGGAATCTGTGCTTCCAATGGGCAGCTGGATCCCAAGAGAAAGAAGGTGCTGAGCGACACGTCTGGTTCTTCATCCCAGATCAGTCAGGGAAGGAACAAGGAGGGCAAAGGGCAGAAAGATGGGAGTGTTTAAGGAAAGCTCCAGCTCACAGGAATGAGGAAAGAGAGAACAGGCTCTTTCCCTCCAACAGTTTAAAGTCCCATATGCCTTTTTCCTGACTGCGTGCATCTCCTGGCTCTCCCTCCAATGGTCACCGATCTTCCTGAAGGGCTTTGAAGAAAAGGAAACGTGGGATCAAACAGTCCTATCCACACCTTTCTAGCCCTGCTGCTCCTTGTGAACAATTGTGCTCTCATCCTATGCAAACCACCCCCCAATGCCAGTTCCAATGGTCATCAACACCTCCCCCTCTTTGTTCTGCTATGGGGGGCCTCCAGAACATTGTCCAATGTTCAGTGAGGACTCAGACCTAATTCACAACCTTGTCCCCCATGTCAGCTCCTGAGATTATACCGAAGAGATCCCAATCCTCCTGAATGACTGATGATTTGACATCAGCTCCCAACTCCTCCCTTGAGTGACATCAACTCTAATTCAATCACTCCCTGTAGTTACCTTATTAGCTGTAACTACTCTCTGAAAACAAGCTCTGAGACCCAGTTCTTACTCACCACAGTCCTCACCCCCTCCTCCCAGTGCTCCTACACTTTATCTTCAGAGAGACCATCAGGCAGAATCTTTCTTCTTCCATCTTTTACAAATGGATTAGATTCTTAAATTCACTACCTTTGCCATTCTACAACACACTTGTGCTGAAAGGCATACTGAAATACTTCCCAGGCTCATACGTTCTGCTGTACATGTCCAAAGCACACACTCTCTTACTCACCTTTGTATCACTAGTATCTCTAACACGGTGCCTGGCAGGAAGTAAGAGCTTTCTAAACATTTGCAAAATTCAACTGACAAAACAGAACATGAAAAATAAGATGATGGTGCTTAACTTAGAAAGCAATAAAGTTTTCTCACCTACTAGTGTGAAAGTTTTCTTTAATGGTTTTAAAGAAATCAACGTAGTAGGTCACAGCAATGGATGCCAAAATCCAGAATCCAGAATGGATATTAAGTCTTGGAAGAGGTTTCTCCTTTTTTTCAACAGCTGTAGAGGCTTCTGCAAATAAGGAAGATTTTAACTTATCAAGTTACCATAAATTTATAAGGAAAAAAATAGCTATTTTAAGCTGGATAAAATAATTTCCTGGACCTTTCCAAAACCCAGATTCTCTCCAATTACAGTACCAATTTCTTCTGAACAACCACCCAAATAGGTTTATATATGCAGAAGTAATTAATAGGAACCTGCCATAAAACATGTTCAATATAGGAAACTTTTTCCCTCTGAACGGATTTTAAAATCAAATTTACAATTATTATCGTCTTTTGGAAAGAATGACACCACCGGGTAGTGTAGAATTTTAGTATTACGTTTCATATATTGCCTAAGAAAGCAGTTAGTCTTGTTAATTAAGAAAAATGCAGACATCAGACATTACAGCACAAAATGGACTTGTAATTTCCCCCAAAATACTACTTTTAACTACATATTTTAATTATTGCAAACAAACACAACCTTTTGAGGCAGCTCAAAAGTGGCAAGGGCACACTGGAGGTCTAGTCTTGGCACAGTACTGTCTAGACAGGTGATGGACAAATCAAATTTCTTCCATTTGAGACCCAATCTGAAAGAAAAGGTGGCTCGGGTTGGGTCTGATGAGTTATTTCTAACAAGTTCACCAGATGAGTGACATGCCCTCTCTCTCAGTTCTTGTGAGAACCACTGGAATAGAATTGAGGTGCCCAACCTTTAGCAAGCTATCAGAATCCCCAGGAGGCATGTTCATATTATAAATTCTGGGAGATAGCCTCAAAATTTATAAATAAGCATGCCTGGGCGTGATTTCTGTTTATTTTTAAAAGGGTAATAAATGTACATGACTTACAACATACGGGAAAACAAGATCCGCAATGAAATCTCCTATCCTTAACCCTAGTTTTTCAACCCCAAAGCAATTACCAATACCAACTTCTATGAATTCTTCCATATTCTATGTATTTACAGGAGAACACACATCACACGTTACCAGGTTCGTACCCAAATGGTGGCATACCATACTTTGTTCTGCGCTTCCCTCTGAAAATCATCCACCCTGGTAAAAAAGAAAAAAGTCTGCCTGCTGTGTCATGTATGTATTTAACCAGCTCTCTGCTTATGGGCAATTAGGTATTTTCAGCCGTTCGCTATTACAAGCAAAGCTGAGGTTAAACAAGTTGCACATACGTCGTCGGGTTTTGGTAAGAGTATAATTCTTCGGTAGATTCTTAGAAATACAACCGGACGGCATTTATTTTAATGGATATTACGAAACAGGTGTTAAACCAGCTCTCCTGAGAATGCTGAAGCGCAGCTGGGATGAAGATGCGCGGGGCTACGCGATCACTAGGAATCTTTCATTAAGCTAAGTACCCGACTTGCAAAATTACTTGGCAAACCTTGAAAAACAAAACCCGGTCCCTCCTGCCAGGGCAGGGCTGCGGGAGGCCCGCGGAGCCGGCCGTTTCCGGGCGCCTCGACTCCGGCCACCTCGGCGCAGCTCGGGGCGCGCCCGGGGGAGCGCCTCACCCGGCCCGGCGTAGCCCTCGCTGTCCAGCGGGGCCTCGGTGTCCGGTGGGAACAGGTATCGCCGCCGGAGCTGCTCCCGGGCCCGCGGAGCGTCCATCTTGGCACCTCCCAGAAGCGCGACGGAAGTGACGCAATCGGATCGCTGCAGGAGGAAGTTCCGCGATCGGATCCCCGACGGGGGACCTTCTACTGTGAGGGGTGGGGATTATGTAATCTTCGAGGTTTTAGTTGGTGAGAATCTTGGGTGGGGACGGCTTCGCAACCTCCAAGTTCGAGTTCGCAAACATGATTTGAATTTCAAAATACTAATCCTGCCCTTCCGAAGCTCCCGCAAGTGGATTCCGGCCTACGGATGCCCAGAAGGCCCAAGCTTACTAATGCCGCCGAACGCGTGCCAGGCGAGGGGGCGCGGCTAAGCGGCGCCTCTTTCCCTCGGCTCTTCCCGGCCCGAGCCTCCTCCGACTCCCCTGTTCCCAAAGCGTCTTAGCCCCCCGGCTTCTTCTCTGCTCCTCCTCTTCAGAAGTCGCCCAGCTAGACTTGAAAGGGCCAAAGGCAGCCCCGGGAGGACGAAAGGCCAGCCGGCCTGTCCCAGGTGCCTGCTGCGGAGCCTCGGGCCTGACCCCTTCCGCTTGGATGGGCTTGGGCAAGAGATAAACCTGTCTGGGCCTGTATCCTCTTCGGCACCACGGGGGTTATACCTGCCTATACCTTGGATCTGTTGTGGGGTTTAAGCGGGGAGCACCCCTGTGTGGTTCATGTTAGCCCCCTCCTTCTGACTCGTGAGAAATTGCTCCCGCCGGGAACATGGGAGCCAAATTTGTACTTGCCCGGAGAACTGCCGCTTCCCATCACAACCATCAACCAAAAAAAGAGACGTGTCACGAATTCCCCAGCTTTTCTCTAGCAGTAGTCCGGTTTATTACTCTCCTACCCCGTGCTACGCATCACGTGTTGAGAAATTTTGTGCTTAACCACTGAAACATGATTACTGAGCACCTGCTCCTTGCTGGCAACTGTTAAGACCCCGTGCTCCGCAATGGAGGTAAAGATGAGTAAGACATGACGTTGCCCTTGCGCAGCTCCCGGACCAAAGATGACGGCAGAGAACTCCTACAGTGTAGTGCAGTGTTTATAAATGTACAGAAGCGTTTTTTTTATTAATTCAGTCAGCATTTTCTGAGCAGCTGTATCCGCTAAAGTGCTGGCGACAGAGGTGAGTTAGAATCTAGTGGAGGAGTTGATTTCAATACAAGGCCGTAATAGAAATACTGTATGTGGGGTTATGGAGGCACCAAATAAAGGGCGGTGTGCTCTGCTGGGCGTGTGGGCAGCAGGGACAGTGGCTTGAGGTGGATTGAGTACAGGGGTGGGTAGCCCAGAAAGCAATCCGGGAAGTAAAATTTGAATTAATAAGCACTCCGGTATCTTCTATATGTCATGAGTATTTGCAGAAGAGATGTAATAAATATTCAAGAGAAGAATGTCAAGTTTCTGCTGGTTGGCTTCTGTCATTCCTTCAGCTTTTCTAGCGAAGGAGCAAAGGATGTAACAGCTGGGCAGATCATATGGCCTTTGTACACAATACCTCCTTTTTTCTTTTTCTTTTCAGACTCCTCAAGAACCAGGGTTCATCAATTCAAAGCCAGCTGAGGTCTTTGCCCTCCCCTCTTCTCTCTCTTGTACAGGGTTAGAAGCCTTGTCAACAGGAAGTGAATTCCTCCTATCAAATACAGTCTTCTGTTGATTGTCTCCTTGCAAAAAGGTCAGTGCTGGGTCTCCCTTGTAACTGAATATTCCCCAGAGCATCACAGTGATTCCAGGGTTTCCATATGTAGTATGTTCAGGTCAGATCCGGTTTCCCCTTTGATGGTTTCAGGGTCTTTGTATTTGGATCTGAAGTCCTTTTAGCCTTTTTCCCCTGATATTTTTAATGGCACTACTCATACACCATAATGATGATACTTAAAAGCAGGTTGGAAAAAGTCCAGTATTTAATGACTGCATTTTCATTGCTGGGGCCAGTTAAATAAGTTCTTAACTGTGTGTTCTGTGTACCTTAATAGATACCTCATATCAGATTGCTACCAACCAAGGGATTTCATTTTCAATGTCAATTACTTATGGGGAAAAATGAAATTGACTATGACCTTTGCTGGCTCTCCTTAGCAACTTGGTTATGTCCAATGTGTTTATAGACTTTTGAATCCTGGCTCCATCATGATGGGTCCTTGGGCAAGGTATTTCATTGTTCTAAGTATCAGTGTCCTCATCTGTGACACAGTAGGTAGCAGAGTGATGATAAATGTGTACTGATCGCTTAGCCTAGTGTCTGGCATGTGGTATGCGTCCAAGCAGGTAGTTACTATTCACTACTACTTACTTGGCTTTCCAGATCCTGCTCACCTCCTGATCAGTTATTCCCTTCTCCATGGGCTCCAGAAAGGATTCTTTTTGTGATTTTAACTTCCGCTTCTGCTCTCCCACCTGATTGTGGGTGACAACCATATCACCCACAATCAGGTCTCAGTCAGGTTCAAGATCTCATGACCCTGAGATCATGACCTAAGCTGAAATCAAGAGTTCGGATGCTTAATCGACTGAGCCACCCAAACACCCCGTTTCTGCCATTTTAATTTTCTTTTCTTTATTAACAGTTTTTTTTTCCCACATATTGTCTATTTGTACGTCATTTTCCTTTGGGAATTTTCATTCTTTGCTTGTTTTTATGGGTCAGAGATGCCCAGTGCCTTGCAAACACCTGGCACGTAGCAGGAATTTCATTGGCCGGTTTTCACCTTGACCCTTGGTCACAGTTGACTGGTCTTTACTGTGAACACACATCCCTTCCTCTGAGAAGCTACTTTTCCTGCTCTCTATAGTAGTCCTGCAGAGTTCTCATGAGACTAAGCCTGTCCTAGGGGAGGACCCCGGACCCAAACCGGACCTGACAGTCCCTGGGACTCGGGCTGGGGCTGTTGGGAAGACCTCCTTTGTTGGTATGATAAGCTGGGAAGTCAATGTGGTCTTGGGGCTGCCCATGGAGGAAGGCTACCTAGGAAGGAAGCTCTGAGATGCAAGCCAAGAGTTGTTGGTAGCATTATTTCAATTCCTGACTCCAGCCAAGCCCTGGTTAACCTAGGTAAGAACACGAGCTCTGGAGCTAGCTGCCTGGCTGACTGGCGTTACTGATTCTGCCATGACTGGCTGTTTCAACGTTGGGCACGCCACATATCCGCTCTTCTGCCTTAGTTTCCTCGCTTGCAAAATGGGTTAACAATAGCATCTACCTCACAAGATTGGGTAGAGATCAAAAGTATTAATACATGCAAAGCATTTAGAACAGCGTCTGACGCAGAGTAAGTTCTCAATAAGTTTTATCCTCCGTTATTAGTCCATTGCTGAGACATCACTGATTTCTGAGCCAAAAAAAAACACCAAAAATCAGTTTTTAAGAAACAAATGCTGCTCAAGTGGTTTTGTGTTACCTGCCCCCCTGAGTCCGGACCAGTCAGCTCTGTCCTCCTGCTGTGCCATGTAGCTGTTGCATTGGGCCCAGCCAGACGGTGAGCAAGTCCAGGAATGAGGTCAGACGTGCAGAACTCTGAGGAAAGCGCCTGGCCTATGGGAAGTACTCAGTAAATGTTCATTTGTGTCTCTTGGGATACCGCCCTTCATTCCGAAAAGAAAGCCAGTTAAAAAAAAGTCTTTTAATTTTATAAGCAATGCAATGAAGTATAGATTTCTCTTTCTGCACAGCTCCGTTTCCCTGGTTAAAGCTGTAGAACTGGAATCACTACATAAAAAGGCATGAACATTTTGAAGGCTTTTGATCACTACTTTGAAAACAACCCCCGAATGGGCAGCCTGTGCCACTTTGCACGCCCACCAGCAGCAGGCGGGAGAAACCATCTTCAATGTTTGCACCAACAACTGGCTTGATGATTTTGGTAAATTTTTCCCAAGTGATAATGGGAGAGGGGTGTCTCTACCATTTTATTTGTTTTTTATTTTTTAAAGATTTATATATTTTAGAGAGAGAGAGCAAATAGGGGGGCGGGGAGAGGGAGAAAGAATCTCAAGCAGACTCAGTGCTGAATGCAAAGCCCAACACAGGGCTCGATCTCACAACCCCGAGATCAGAACCTGAGCCAAAATCAAGAGACAGACACTTAATCGAATGAGCCACCCAAACACCCCGTTTCTGCCATTTTGATTTTGTTTTCTTTATTAACAGTTTTTTTTTTTTTCACATATTATCTATTTGTACATCATTTTCCTTTGGGGATTTTCATTCTTTTCTTGTTTTTACAGGTCAGGGATGCCTTTGAATATCAGATCTGTGGTCATTATGCTTTTGTCACTTTACTGTTTATCTTTTAAGTCTGATCACATTCATACCTATGTTTAGTTTAGTTTTGTGTTTCTTCACTTGTAGCTTGTGGTGAAGGCAGAGTTGGGAACGAGTCCGCCGGGTGGGGTGTAGTTGGAAAGTCCTGGCAGGTGGGAAATGCTCAGTCACTTAGGGGACGTACCAGATGATAATTCTACCTGAACCCTCGTCAGATGGACCTAGTCATGCCCTGCCTGTTTGTTAGGCAGCTGGCTATACCAGAGAGGGTTTTTAGTTAACCACAACTAAAACCAGCCCTAACCAGCCTAAGCAAAACAGTAATGACAACCATAGCAATAACCATTATGATCATAAAATGCATGTGCAATTTTTTTTGAAGAAGCCTTTTGGAATTCCTCTGAAGTATTTTACAAGATTAGAAGGAAACTAGGATTTCAATCAAGTCTGGGTGAGGATAGCTCCAGGAGCGCCCACATGACTCGGCTTTGAGGATACCGTGTGTCTGAGATGGTGGTGAGCCTGCTGTCACCCTCTGGTCATTGCCACACCAGGGCACACCAGCTTCTGACCTTCGGCATCTGTGTCACTTTGGGGTTTTCTCTGGTCGCATCCTCCTACAGCAGTGAGGGGTGGAATTCTTAGATAAGGGAAATCAGTGGGAGTCCAGAGCCCTGCTGCCCAGACAAGAGCTGCTGCCCGTGAACCTCTAAGGACAGGCAGTGTGCTGTGTTCTGGGTTACGGTGTTGGGGAGAAGAGTGGAGAAGCTTCCTCCAAGCTGCCAGTGGGTCAGGTAGCAGGGAGGTGATCGGCTCAACCACAAGATCAGGACAGGGAAACGGAACATTCCTAAAGCTAGAAAGAGAAGGAGGGGGTAGGGGTGAACTGGCCCAGAATGAGAGGCCAGGTAGGCAGGAATCCTAGAAGGTGTCCCCAAGCATTCCTGAAATTTCTGGCTCTGTGGCCAATTTGGGAGCAATATTTGGGTCCATTGTGTTCTGTGGAAGGACAGTCTCTTGTTTTAATTGCTCACATTTAAGTTGAGAGCCTCTATCAGGCTTGCAAACCTAGAGAGTAGAGGTGTGTCCCGGCTGACTACCCTCCCTGATGCCCAAAGTCCTCCAGGCTGTTAATGCCAGTCTTGTCCTTGACATGTCTAAATCATTCAGTGCCCAGAATTTGGCCTGTTAATGGTGTGCATGTGATCAAATAAAACAAGCTCTTTTTGTTCCTTTAAGAAAACCCACGTATTTTTAATACTATAGTCTACCTCACATTATCATGCATTTCCACTAAGTAAAGAAACATAAAAGCCTTATTTAGCCATTTCTTGAAAGCTTAATTAGAAGAAGGGATACAGGCTAAATGTACTCAGAAATCCAGTAACCCCGAAGTACATAAATTGCCTAAAACTCTGAAAGGGGCTTTGAGATCACATGACCCATTGTGGAAACCACTTGGAAATCCCTGGCCTGGACATTTGCTTAAAAAGCTTTACGTGGAATGTCTTTATAATGATGATCTAAATCATCAATGCTAAGAAAAGGCAGGTGGGGGCGCCTGGGTGGCTCAGTTGGTTAAGCGACTGCCTTCGGCTCAGGTCATGATCCTGGAGTCCCTGGATCGAGTCCCGCATCGGGCTC